TACTACATTTATTTGCGATGTTAGGTGCTAGACCTTCATTAGCCATAAAGGTCACCAAAGGCCAAACAGGACAAAGCCACTGTATCTGGAATATGGATATAGGGCTCCCTCTTAAAGAGGTGGTTTTATGCTCAGGTTCATAATCTTATTTAGGGGTTGTACCAGAACAGGTTTACATGGTTTAATTTTCAAAACAAAGCATATTTTTTGTCATACTGCACATTACTGCAGCTCCTCTTTCGTATTAGCAATGGAGTAATACATTTTGCCTCTACATGATCTTTGTTGGGAGTTGCACGTGTGCAGTTCCTAGTTAAGGATGATTTACCAATCAGAAGCAGAGTAGGGGGCGCCTGAGAAGCTGGTACAGCTTCGGTTCAGCTGTATACGTTCCCCTTACCAGCTTAACAACATGGACTGGAGCAACAGTTTCAGAGTGGTGAGTTATTAATCTGTAACAAATGTATCTTTCATCCATAAAGTTTTAACTGAGCTCTGTCTCTACATCATGGTAACTACTTTATGTCCATTGACTGACTGGAGGGTAGCTAATGTTTGGAATGGAGAGAAGAGGCAGCAGGCGGACGTCTTGTCACTGTGTGCTGCCGCAACTGTTTTTGAGAGCGTGTCGGACTAGCTGCTTGGCGAGCATTATGAAGCGCATTTTGCTGTGTTGTCACAGGGATGAAAGGGAAACGGTTGGACTACAAACGAGCTGTTTTCGGGCAGTTAAGAGCAGTGTTTTCTGTGGGAGATGGGAACTCCCTTTGAACTCACTTTGCAAACCTGTTACATGCACAAAAGAGATATATAACTCAATAAAGGAGAGGGAAAAAGCCAAAAAGCATAATAACACCTCTTTAAATCCAAGCTTTGAAAGAAATCTACACAGGATTGTTTTGTAGCTGGGCCTAGCCCCAAGCGACTATGCCAGTCTGAACCCGAACAAAGATGGGGTCTCTTGTGTCACCACCCACAAGGAAAGGAATAAAGGGTCTGGTATATGTTTGGGCAGCAGGCAAATGTGCAGGCTTTGTCTAAATGAAAACTAGTAGCTCATTTTAGTACAACTGGATAGAAGATGGCCTACCCTTGTCTGGAGTCATCCAGGGTGCTGGCCTTGTGGGTGTGAGGATACTAACAAGTCCTGACTGTGTGTAGGTTTTCTTTGTGCCTATGTGCCAAATAGTATTTCAGAGTCTTTATATCAGATGGTGGTAGAAACTGGTACATTGACAGAGTAAACCTAAATGGGGAAGGGAATTGAACTCTTAATGTCCGTCGGAGGTCTGTTTCGAACTGCGGCCAAAAGGTCTGAGGTGATTTGCAGTGTCAATCAGCTGGCATTTGAGTTTGTGACTCCCATTCAGATGCCTATTACTACATGACAAGCACACAAGCCGGGTCCTTAAATTGTTCTGTATTCTAAAGACCATCTGTAATTCATGACAAAGACATTAACTGCATGATAGTTTATCTGTAATGTAATAGTAACATTAGAACCAAACCTGAGATTTGCTTGCCTCCTGTAGTCCCATGGATGACTTGAATGTGTTCAATGGTTCACCAGCTTCTTTCAGTTCACCCACCACAGAAGTCTGTTTTCTGTCAACTTGTGGCTCTGAAGTGACAATCTTTGCATTGGAGTCTCTCTGTGACAAGTCCAAAATAACACATTCTTCGTCCAAGCCAGACTTAACTTTTTTGCTAAGGTCCAAAGCGTTTGAAATTGAAGGGTCTGAAGAGTCTCTTACACTCAGGAAAGGAGAACATGAATTGTCCTTGAACACTATTCCACTGGACATTTCCAAAAAAGCACTCTCTTCTGTACATGAGTTTATAGAGTTCGAGTCAATTTGAAAGAACCTTTCTGTTGAACGGCTGTAGAACAGACCTATCCACATGTGGACGATGAGCTGTACCTCTTCACTGGTGTCTTGAATGGAATAATCCCATGGGCTATCGAAGGTGTACAACGAACAAAAATGAACTCTTTCAGTTGAATAATTGATAAATCGTCATCCTATTTGTTAACTAAACACAGGTATAGAACTGAAATTATGTGAAATTGTAATACATTTTTTACTTTTATATTGAGATTCGTTGAATAAATAAGAAACAACATACATACCCATGCAAGGCTCGGATGATAGCTCTATCCTTTGAGTCACTAGTAAACTTGCTGTCTAGATTAAAGTCATAGTTCTCCTCCCATTGCTTTGTGACTTGGACAGATCCATTCTTGATATCAAAGGTACGGGAGTGCCTGAACTTTCTTCTGCGTACCATGCGTTTACTCAGGTATTCTGGAATCATGTGGTGTTCACTGCGGTCTTCCTGACCGACAGAGGGTTGTAGTGTTTTTATTCCATCGCCATACATTGTCTGGTGATGATGCAGCAGTCTGGTAGAACCACTTAAAGGGGATATCTGCAAGGGTGTACCTGACAAACCCAATAGTAGAAAAGAAGATGGGGGCAATGAGTAAGCATGTTCTTTAGATACCAAATCAACCAATTCACTGCCTCCCACAAGATGGCTTGGTGAAGGAGAATCAAGAGACTGAATGGGTCTAGCAGCAGGCTGTTTAAGCAGAGCATGAAGAACTGACTCTTGTTCAGCACTGGTAACATCTTTTGTAAGGTCACACTTCTTCAAACTTGTCTCAGGCTTTCTCTCAAGTGCTGGGTCTGGTTGTGGTGGAACCTGGTCATTACTGGCACCGAGTGCCAAGTCAGCAAGTAAGTTCAAAGCATCTGTAGATGAGCAAGCACTGTTCATTTTTTCCTTAACAGGGTTCCTGACAGAATTATCCCTAGTACACTCTTTGTTTTTGAGTTTTTCACTTGCAAAAGAAGCTGGGGTTTGAAAATGCAACCACCCTGTGAAGACAAAACAGAGGAGAAAAAAGAGAAACTGCATGAAAATAGAAAGTAGCACATTGAAAGCATTTAAAAAATAAAATATACCAATACACTAATAGGAACTTGTCACTAACCAGTAAACTATGCCATTGTTTCAAACACAGAGATTGGTTTATTAAGCCAATAATGTCACTTTGGGTGCAGATGCATAGGACTGGCAAAATGCAGCATAAGCAAGAGCAAAAGCAAATTAAGAACTAGAAATACATAGCAAAGCAAATTGCTAGCATGCTAAGGATAGTTGCAGAAGAGACAGAGCCAAGAAAAGGGTAAGTCAGTTTCAATGTCATACACAATACTGAAGAAGTTTTAGACATACACAAAAAACAAACTTACATTTCTTTTTAACATGTTCTGCAGAGATGCCTTGATGCTTTTTGAGTGTTTTAATCCTACCCCTTCTTGGAAACATTGATAGAGGTCTTTGAATGACTTCAGGTTGTTTGTCAGGAATGGTTTGTTCTTGTGTCTCTGATACGTCTTTCCTTTGTTGAGTGTCCTGACCTTCAGTTTTCTTTATCTTCTCTGGTGTCTCTTTAGGGGTCAGGCCTAGGGCATATGCAAAAGAGGATCAACTGACATCCTTGCCTCTTCCTTGACACCCAAATTGGTGTTCGGGACACTCGGAATTGAATCATTAGTCTTCAGCACCCCAGTGTCTGAGTCAACTCTGCTCATCTTGGGACAAGGCCCAGAATCTTGGGTAGTATCAGCAGTTGTTTCCTCTAACACAAGGTGACCCGTTTTTCTCTTTCCCCTTAGAAGAACCGATTTTAGTTTATTCAACAGAAATTCACCCTTTGTTCTACCCTTTTCTGAGGAGAGGGTATCAGCATGTTTTTCTTTAACTGCTTCCGAGAATGGAGGCGTGTCTGTGCTATCCTTTTTTGAAGAATGCTCCCTTCTCTCTGGATTCAAAATCAATGAACCATTGCCATTATCCGACTGTCTCAAAGTGCTTTGTTCAAGATTAATGTCATTGAAACCAACATTTTGAAGATGGTTCCCTTCATCTTTGGATGTTGTGGCCTCTGTTTCATCCACTGCTGTTTCTGAAGCAGTGCTAGAATCTTGCTCCATTCTGACTGTGTCATGAGCATTCACAGGGGCATCAACCAACATATTTTCAGGGCACTGTTCATCTTTTGTATATTTAATCTTATCCTTTAAAGACTTAATCTGATCAGCAATATCTGCAGAGCCAAAGGGAACCAAGATTCTTCCACATTCGCTGGTAACCGGTTTCAAGTCCCAGCGCTCCGTTTTCCTCCTCAAAGGACAAGCTTCAAGTTCCATAAAAACGGTGCTTTCCAAGCTCTCTTGTCCAGGGTCGGATTTTTTATCCTCTGCTACAGCAGATCGCACTTTTTATTATTTGACGATAGCTTTCGTCTTTGTACTTTCCTCCAATCAATATTTGATTAATCAACTGTGGGTGGTCTGATGATTCCTTGGCCTGGTCTTCCTCCTGGCTCTTCAAGTTGTCTTCCTCCACGGCTATTTCGACTGTTTGTAAACTGTGAGTTTCAACACAGGCTTTAGTTACCTTTTTCCGACCTTTGAAATGTCCCCCTGCGTCGTTTTCTACGTTTTGCTTTTGTGGACTGGTGATCTCAGAGCAATCCAAAAGCTTTTTGGTTTTAACTGTTTCACCATTCAGAGAGTTTACTCCAGCTGTTTGTAATTTGGCTGTTGAAAAACCAGACAGCTGAAAGTCATTGTGCTTTACTGCAGAGTCTGTATTGTCCACACTTAAACTCTCAGTGACAGTTTGCTCTGCCGAAGTGATGCTGACAATCAGCTCTGCTGGAAGGTCATCTGATGTAGAGGGAGTCAGGAGATCTTTTGCCACCATATCATCAGGTTTGATCAACAAAGTCAGGTCGTTGGTTGTATCTCCAGCTTGCAAAACCTCTGGTACAACATTTTGAGACACAACTGTTAAGTCAACTTGTGCTTCAGCACTTGTTACACAACTGTCTACAGTCTCATTTATAGGCGACTTCTGGCCTGTCCACTGATCTTCTGATCCCATGCTAACAGAATTGGCTGGTGCCTCCTCAGGAGATGACAGACAGATGTAGACATCATCATCAAGGTCTTCTATTCGCTCCTCTTGTCCAGCCTTCAGGATTTCTGAAGCCTTGGACATTGGCAGTTGAAAAGAGACTGGTTTGCTCAGGTATGATGTGAAGCTCTGCCATGCCCTGTTAGTCCACTCCGGGAGAGTAGAGGTGCTTGTGGGCATCCGGCACATCATACTGATCTGGAAAGATGCTGACTTCCCTAGAGGGACTTAATGCCAACCCAGGATTTATCAGTGCTGCGTAACTCTGCATATGCTGCGCCAAAACTTCACATAGTTCTTCACTTGGGTCAATGGGTGTTTTCTCAACTTCGCCCTCTGCATAACTTAGTACCGGTAGAACCCGCAGGATTTCAGATGACATGGCAGATTTTCTCTGTCCAAATTTTGTGTCTGTGATAAATCAAGAAAGAATACTTGTTTAAAAGTGCGACTGAGCAGGGCAAATGTCATTTCATTTAAGTAATGTGAGAAACAGATCAAATGGAAATATTCACTGTTAAACACATGCTGTAATCACCTCTCAGCATAACTCGTGAGCTTGGAAACACAAACATGCATTGCAGGACCTCAGCTGCACTGGACCCAGTATCTTGGGGAAAAAAGCACAAAAGATACATGGCTGATATGAAGCTGAATTTTTGTTTTTAATGAGAACAAAATTTGTTTTGTTGTAAGACAGACAACATAATAGTAATTTTTAATCTTACCATCATATGTGAGGAAATGGGAGGAGTGCAACAAGATAAGAAAACCACTATCCTTAAGCGGAATAGTGAGAGCCTGTGCAAAAATGAGCGTCAGGTATGGTTTTTAGATGTTGGATAGCAAGTAAAATTCACATATTTATGCAGTGCAAACTGACATTGAAAGTAGACCAACTGAAACAACAGAAAAATTATTAATGACA